CCCCCCCAAATGTAGTACGACTTGATACTTATTTTGTTGAAAGCTCTCTTGAATAATATGGATTAGCAACTAAATCTTGATAATAAATTTCTAACGCAACCTTTCTCATGCTAGAATATACTGGAATATGATTGGTAGATTATGCTGTTCACTTTGATGTGTTAAAAGAGAGGGTCAGCATTATTTTTTTCCTTCTTTTTCTCATTTAATTTATGATCTCAGTTGATATTTCAAAATGAAAACACTTCTTAAAAGTTCTTGGATATTAATCATGAAGCTGAGCCTGTGAAAAATAGTAAAATTCCTCCTAGATGATAAGGAAAATAAATGTACTAGTTTTTTTATGCCTCACTATGCTGTTTCAGATAATCTGAGTATAATACTAGGTTTGTCCATGTGTGGTGACTGATATGGTTTGTCGTCCTTTTTTAAAAGGCTTCATGTGGTCACATGAACACAATCACATGAATTCTGCAAATTCATGTACCAGTTTTTAAAAAAAATTTGGGAAATAGAATTTAAAACTTACTATTGGGCAAAATTGATTAATCAGAAGCCAGTCAATGGCAAATAGAAAAGCATTTAAGTCTGCATGGAGAATTAGATTTTCTACTGTTTCCTTATACTGTCAGATTTTCTTATATTTGATTTCATGTGGGTCAAAGTGATGGCAGCTTATCCATAGGTTCACCTTTCAGTGCATTTTTTAACAAATGTTTGGCAACACTTTCATTTTCAGTGTTTCGAATAAATTCTTGTTTCATAAAATACTATGAGGAATGATAGCTGTAGGTTTTACTTACACTGCTGTTTAATTTTGTTTTACAGATCATAATATCAGTCTAGAGTCTATGGGAGTAACAGTAAATGCAGTGGCTGGGGCTCTTAAAGCTTTTTTTGCAGATCTGCCAGATCCATTAATTCCTTACTCTTTGCATCAAGAGTTGTTAGAAACATCAAGTAAGTAATGAACAATCTTGTCTTGATCTAATTATGTTATATTGATTGCCTTTATTGCATTCTTACTTCATTGTAAGTTGAAAGGAGTAGCTGCATGGAAATATTTTTTAAATTGCTTAGACATGTACATTTTTTTTATATTCTTTAAAATTAACAACTATATGATGAAATAAACGTAATACGTTATTTTTTCTAAGTAAGTTGTGGCTTATTATTTCCCCTTTTCCTGGAAAATTTAATTGGAGAAATCTACTTTTTTTCCATTCTGTATTAGTGCTGCATATGATGAAAGCTCTTGGAACTGTATTGCAGTTGTTAACAGGGGTAAAAACCCTTGAATTCATAAAGTCTTACATTCAAAGTAGGCTTTAGAAATCAGACACGTCTATGGAATATTATGGTAATTCTCTTTTAGATGTTTTTCAAATTCTTTTTGAAATCCTTATAAGATGAAATGCTTAATTTTTTTTGCCTTACAAACATTTTTCAGACACTTTAAGTGAAATGACTAAATTGTTCCTTTTTTTAAAGATTATCTTTCTTTTATCGGCAGCAAACTGTTTCAGGAAAAGACCGCTACACATTTTTGCAGGATACAACTGTGACATACAGTATTCTTAATGCTTTTTTGTTCAAAACATGAAAATACTAGTGTAAATCTAAGGCTTGGGCCTGGACTTGATTAATATATAGTCCATCAGAAATTTTGTATTTTTGGACAATATCTGTAGATACCTATTTGTGGTATTTCTGCTGTACTTTTCAGGCAAATTGCTTGTTTAATGTAATTAGTTAGGTTTTATTTTTTCTTAAAAGTATATAAGTTAAATTTCAGTCAAAACATGCAATAGCTTAGAATATAAGTGGACTTACTGTTTTAAAATGCCATTAGTACTGCTTTAAATTTCTATTTGGGATATATTGGAGCATATTTAACGTTATTTCTACGGTACTAGGGTAAATCAAATTTCTTTTTAGAAATGCAGTCAAGTAATAGAGGTGAGCTTGTATTCCTTTTTATGATACAAATCATCATGGAATAGAAGTATATTCTGCAGAATATATGGTTCTACAATACTTTAGTGTTATTTTCCACAAGTGTTTTAGCAGCAGCATTAGCTGTTGTTTTTTTTTTTTTTTTAAAATTGTTATTTTATTCCATAGTCCTTTCTTACATGTTGCTTATTTCCTCTTTGAAGCATAAATAATGTCCCTTGGGCCTGTGAAAATACCTGTTGTCCTTTAAACACTGTATTTAAAATAGCTGCACCAAGCTCATTCATAATTTTTTAAATTATTTGAATAACTGATAAGCTTAAGATATTCTAAGTTCATGTGAATGTCTTCCTTCCCCCAAATCCTTATGAAACTTCAGTCGGAATAAATCTTATAGATATATCTAAGTCATAACATTTTGCAAGCAAAGGAAAATCTAACAAGAAATAACCCTGTCACAAGCCAACAATGAGCTAATCATGTGATTCTTTGCTGGTAAACACAGAAAAATAATTCTGCTTAAATACAGAAAAATATTTTTGTGTTTAGATAGTTACCTCTATAATAAGAACGTTATTCTATGCAATAGTATATGCAGATCGGAATTTTATCAAATATTTTCTCACTTGATATTTCTCTGTGGGTATCTTATGTGTACCATTATACTAAGAAAAAGACTTAGCAACACTTTATTCAGTATGTCTTTCTAGATGTGTCACAAAATGTCGCTTGTTTCTATAGAAATCCTGGATAAGACAGAACAGCTACATGAGTTAAAAGAAATTGTGAAGAAATTCCACCCAGTGAACTATGATGTCTTCAAATACGTAATAACACATCTAAACAGGTTTAGTATTTTTCTACTAAAATTTTGTTTGTTGTAACAATTGCAAAAAAGATTGTGTTAGTAACAGTGAAATGACTACTAGGATTGAAACTTTCATGCTGCATTGCTCATCTGTTAGTATAAATGTGGAAAATGAAACTAGGAGTTAGGTTGATTAGAAAAGTTTTGTATATTCTGTGCTCAGATTTTATTGACGTATAAATATCTGGCATCATCGCTGCTATAAAGTTATAAGAATGATTGGTGTACATAATAAAAAAGCTTGAAAGAACAACTATGCACCACAGTTACAGATCTCTTTTTTTTTGTTTTTTTTTTTTTTCCTTTGCTTCCCCCCTGCCCCCGCCCCCCTCCCCGGAAGTAGCTATTAAAATTATAGACTAATATAGGTTTTAAGGGACCTGAAAGTCATTTGGCCTAAAACCACTCCCCACCCCTTAAACCAGGACTAGCTTCAATCAGAATCTAAAATGTAGCACCCCAAAACCCTGCTGAATAAGTAAAATGTAGAACAAAGCTATAAGTAACAGTAAATTGGTTACACTTGCTTCCTAAATCTTGCCTCTTGCATGGAAATTTAATGGTTTCCTCTTTAAAAATTATTTCTCTATTTACTAAAATAATCTGATATTAGTAGATGTATACTACCTCATAATCTGACCCTTTATGTACATATGTACAATATTCAGTCATGAAAAAACAGGAAGAAAAAGACCTCGTTTCTTTTTCAGCTAAATGGGATTATTCTCTGAAATCCACTGAATCAGATTAACAATATTATTAAAACAAAGAATAAACATTGCCAAAGCTAAAATAACTTTTTTTTTTTTAACAAAAAATTTTGTAATCCAGTAATCTGTCACTTAAAGATTAGCTTGTGATATTTTTTTCTGCATTTTTAGACAGAATCACAGAATTGTTGAGGTTGTAAGGGACCTTTGGAGATTGTTTAGTCCAACCCTGTTACTTCGGCAGAGTCAACTAGAACCCAGGACTGTGTCCAATTGGGTTTTCGGTATCTCCAAGGAGGGAGACTCCACAATCACTCTGGGCAACCTGTGCTAGTGCTCAGTCACCCTCATAGTAAAAGAATGTTTTCTTATGCTCAGACAGAATTTCCTGTGTTTGTTTGTGCCTGTTGCTTTTTGTCCTGTCACTGAACACCACTCAGAGGTATCTCAATCCATTTTCTTTAGACCCTCGTATCAGGTATTTACAACCAATGATAAGACTTCCCCTGAGTTTTTTCCAGGCTAAGCAGTCCCAACTTTCTCAGCCTTTCCTCATTTGAGAGATTCTCAGTCTCTTAATGATCTTTTTGTCCCTTCACTGGGCTCGCTCCATTATGTCCGTGTGTCTGTTGTGCTGGAGAGCCCAGAGCTGGAGCCCATACTCTAGACGTGGCCTTTGCAGTGCTGAGTAGAGGGGAAAGATCACCTCCCTAGACCTGCTGACAGCACTCTTAATGCGACCTCGGATGCCGTTGGCCACATTTGCCACGGGGGCACGTTGCTGGCTTATGTTCAATTTGTTGTCCACCAGGACTTTCAGGTCCTTCTCTACAATGGTGCTCTGAGGCCAGACAATTTTGTATATATACACCAATAAGCTTTTCATGCATTTAAGTTGTTAAATTGTTCCAGACTAGTGTGTGTGTTTGTGTTTTTGCAAGCATTTGTAACGATCTAACTCGGCATGTAATATGGGAGCAGAAATGAGACCTTTTAACTTCCCTATTTAGTCAACAGAGAGAATGTAGGCGCTCTCTATTGCAGTTTGGAAGGAGTCTTCTCTTTCCACTGAATATATGAGAAACTTTAGAATTTAGGAACCTACTTTTACATTTCTCTCCAACATAAATACGACTTGCTAAAGCTTTATAAAGTTAAACATTTTTCTTTGCAGGGAAATGGATCAATTTTTTCCATTGCAATCTTGCCAAATACAAATTCAGCCCTAAAATAGATAAAATCCTATCAATGGATGTAATTATTACATGCATTTACATATTACAAATTGCAAGATGTGCTTGCATGTATATGAAGGAAAACAAAACATGTTCTCCTGGTTTTGGCTGGGATAGAGTTAATTTTCTTCCTAGTAGCTGGTATAGTGCTGTGTTTTGGATTTAGGATGAGAATAATGTTGATAACACACTGATGTTCTAGCTGTTGCTAAGTAGTGTTTACACTAAGTCAGGTGCACAAGAAGCTGGGAGGGAGCATAGCCAGGACAGCTGACCCAACTGGCCAAGGGTGTATTCCATACCATATGACGTCATGCTCAATATATAAACTGGGGGAGTTGGCCAGGGGGCAGCAGTTGCTGCTTGGGGACTGGCTGGGCATCGGTCGGCGGGTGGTGAGCAATTGCATTGTGCATCACTTGCTTTGTATATAGTGTTGTTATTATTACTATTACTATTTTACTATTATTATTATTACTATTTTACTTTATTTCAATTATTAAACTGTCTTTATCTCAACCCATGAGTTTTCTCACTTTTACCC